GAACAAACAGGTTCATCCTAGAGAGGGTGAAGCCAGACTGCTCCTTGGAGGCAAGGATTCTGAGGCTTCATCTGACACACTTTGGTCATATTGCAAGGAGGGACTAGTCCTTGGAGAGGGACATCATGCTTGGAAGGGTGGAGGGACGGAGAAAGAGAAGGAGACCATCGATGAGATGGATTGATACTGTGACTGGGGTAATGAGGGTAGGTGTATCATAGACAGTCAAGTTGGCACAGGATAGAGCAGGTTTCAGGGCTGTTGTACATGAGGTTGCTATGAGTTGCAAGTGACTTAACGACACATAAAAACACACCTTTCACTATGGATTATGGCTGAATGTGAAGGAAACAAAATCCTTAGGACTAGCCTCATAAATAATACATGATAAGTGAAAAAAAGTTAAGATTCCAATGATTTAATTCTACTTGGATCAACAATTAAAGCTCATGAAAATTACAGAAACAAGGGAGGTACTGCATTAGGAAAACCTGTTGCAACAGACCTCTTTGAAGTGCTGAAAAGTAAAGATGTTCTTTTGATGACTAAGGTATGCCAAGAGAGCTTTGGTGGCCAGTGGTGAAAAGCTGCACTGCAATCCCAAAGGGACACAGTTCAAATCCATCAGCTCCTCCATAGGAGAAGGATGGGTAGTCTCATTCTTTGCAATTAACTGCCTCTGAAAACTTGCCAGAGGGTCATCTATGTGTTGGTTCTGATTAGACAACACACAACACCACCACCACCAAAGATATGCTTGACCCAAACTATTATCATTACTTCACATGCATAAGAATGTTGGACAATGAAAAAAAGAAGGTGGAAGAATTTACTCATTTGACAGAGACCATGGTCTTCTCAATTACTTGTTATGCATCTGAAAGCTGGCCAATAAATAAGGATGACAGAAGGAGAACTTATTTCTTTGAGTCATGATACTGAACAAGAGTACTGAACATACCATGGTCTGCCAAGAGAATAAACAGGTCTGTCCTGGAGAAAGTAAAACTAAGTTACTCCTTGGAGGCAAGGACTTTGAAGCTCCATTTAACATACTTTGGGCATATCATCAAGAGGGACCAGTTCTTGAAGAAGAACATCATGCTTGGAAGGGTGGAGGGACAGCGCAGGAGAGGAAGACCCTGGATGAATTGGATTAGCACAGTGACTGTGGCAGTTGGATCAGTTGTATCAGAGACACTGAGATTAGCTCAGGATAGGGAAAAATTAAGAGTTATGATTCACAGGGTCACTATGAGTCATAGTCTACTTGATGGAACCTAACAATATTGATAAATAAAGTTGAATATACTACGGACTGTTAAAAAATGCACAAATACATCTTGGGTAAAGTACAGCTTAGATGGGTTGAAACTCAAGTACTTATTACTGCACTAATAGGTTTATGTATGACAGAGATTGTGAAGATGGCGTAGGATCAGGCAGGGATTTATTCTGTTGAACACAGTTGGAAACAACTCAATGGCATCTAACAACAACAACAACACAATAGACAGAACAATCCTTAAAATTGAGGATAGAATGACTTCAATTTGTTTTCTTAAGGCGTGTTCTCACAACATACTAATTGTTTAAAAAGGACGTCATATAAAGTCAATGAAAATGAGGTACAGCCTCTATGGGATGCATTTTCATGGTGGCTAAAAGAATGGACTTACACACCCAGAATTGTGAGGTAGTATCCAAAGTAAGCCTCCAAGGACTGGGACATCCCTTTTCCTCACGAGAAAGGGGAGGCAGTCTACCCCCCAAAACATTTACAGTCTTGGAAAACCTTTGGACAATTCTGCTCTGTCCTTCATGGTTGCTATGAATTCAAATTGACTCAATGGTAGTGTTTTGCTTGTTTGCTTGCTTATGCTAATAATATTAAAAACTCAAAGTCATTGCTGTTGAGTTGAAACCTACTCAGATGACCTTCCAGTGGGTTTTCAGAAATTGTAAATGGAACAGGAGGAGACTGCCCCTATTTTTCTCAAGGAGCAACTGGTGGATTCAAATTTGCCTTTGGGTTGGCAGCAAGATTCCTTACCCACAAGGCCAGCAGAGCTCCCTGTTAATAATAGTTAATACTAAATTATGAAATACTAAACTATAATACTACAACAATCCTAAGTATTAAACCCTCACCCGAACCATTGCTACTGAGTTGACTCTGATTCATTGTGACCCTCTGGGAAAGTGTAGAACTGCCCTGAATCGGTAAATACTACAACAGATTTGGAAGCAGGAGTGGCATCCACTTCCTAAATAACATGCTTCTGGAAACTCTATGAACTTTGATAAATGTCGATAGTTGTAGAGGGGCTTCAGACCTTTTGTTCATAGGATCACTATGAGTCATGCTCTACTCAAAGACAATCAACAACAACAATCTTTATGTGAGCAGATAGCTACATCTTTTCCTGCAGAGTGGCAGGTGGTTCTAGATATCAGTCTTTCAGTTCTCAGCTGAGTACTTATCCACTGCACCACCTGGGTACCTTATAAATACGAGACTAAGTGTCGTTACTCTACTCCCTTATTATGGTTCTAGGTAGTATATAACTTCTTTTATGCTGTGCTTTGATCCTACCTGAACTGCAAAGTCCATTATTAGTAATATTTTTAGTTAGACAATGAGGTTCATAAAGTTGTTTTCAGAAAACTGTTGTCCAGAGAAGAAGAGTTGAAGATTTAAGAGATCAGGACATGAAGCCATTGCTTATCAAAGCCAGTTTCAACACAGATTTCTTCCCCTCCCTTAGATAGTTACATATGAGTCACATACATATGAGCTAGAGAGTGACCCTGAGGAGGGGAGACATGGAACAACTAAATTTTGACTGCACAGGAGTGGAAAATCAATAAGAATGAGACCTCGCTATGAAGAGTGAGGATACATAGATACATGTTTGGGGACTTTGTGGTTAGAAGGTGGTAAAGGAGGAATCTAGGTATATATAAACTATACACAAATTCATTCACTCATTGCCCTTGAGTCAGGACTGACTCATAGCTGGCCCTCCATTAGGTTTCTGAGGCTGTAAATCCAATGGGAGAAGATTGCCCATCTTTTTCTCTCAGAGTCTTTGGTGGATTTGAATTACCAGAGAAGCTTAGCCCTTGAGCTGGCAGTACAACTCCCTATGGACTACATCACTAGAGTTCCCCAGACTATAAATATATTGGTTTATATAGACTATTTTACAATGTTTCCTAGAGCCAATACTCACTATTAAAAATTAGGATGTTTACTCTTGCACTAGTCTATAAAATTATCTTCACCAAAAATTTCTCTCGGCAAGTTCTGGTGGCCTAGTGGCAAGAAGCTGCACTGCAATCCCAGAGGTGCGCAGTTCAAATCCAGCAGATGCACTGTTGGAGATGGAGGGACAATCTCTTCCTGTATAAGTCAGATCCGATTTGACGGTACACACACACAAATAATAAAAAATAAAAAAAAATTCTCTCAACAAACTTTGTGAGGTAGATTTGACTAATATTTTTCTAATATTTTGAGTAAAATTTTGTCCCTGCTTAGTGAGGTCTGGTTGAGAATCCTGTACAAGGCAATCAAGAAGGAGGTAGTGGTGGGTGGGTCCAAGCAGTGAAATAAAGTCTTCCAAAGCCTAATCCAGTGAGTTGATCACATTGCTCCCAACACAATCATTATGTGCTGACAATCCCATTTCTGACTTGAATACCCACAAACCTTCATACCTTGAAGTGTAGAACAAATTACAAGTAGTTCCTGGCTTGTATCTCCAGATCGTCTTACAGGAATCAAAAGCTCCCCGACATCCTCCTCTACCCTGTATTCTGCCTCTGGAATATAGACTGTTGATTCTAGAAAAGATGGTAGAAGATTGTTCAGCAAGATTTAAATTTGATGAGTAATGAGTCTGCATATAAAAGCATATAATCTTTTTACATTTATATCTTTAGAACACATTTGACTGTTAAATACAGTAAGGATAACAAATATTTGTTATTATACTGAATTGGAGAGAAAATGGAATTGGGTTGTTTGCTGTCGTTAATGTGCTGTTGAGTTGCTTGAGACTCATAGCAACCCTATGCACAATAGCTCTGAACCCTGCTCTTCTATCCTGAGCCAATCTCACCATCTCTGACATATCTGTCTCCATTACCCCAATCCCTATGTCAATCCATTTCATGCAGTGCCTTCCTCTCATGCACTGT